AGCGAGAGAGCCCGCGCTTACGAGAAAAGCAAGAGAGAGCGAGAGAGAGATAGAGAGAGAGAGAGAGAGAGAGAGAGAGACAGAGAGACAGACTGACAGACAGAGACAGCGAAAGAGAGAAAGTGTGAGAAAAAAAGAGAGAGGGGAAAGCGAAAGGAAAAGATAGATATTACATCGCAGTGGGCTTCCGTAAGCAGCGCGTAACCCTTTCGTTATCACAAGCTCACCCACACCACACCCCACCCTATCCTGCCCCACCATACCCCACCACACCCAATCCAGCCCCACATACTCTGCCGTATCATACCCTACCCTACGCTACTGCACTCGGTCCTACCTTGAGCAGGTCTTTCAGCATCTCCACTTGCTGCTCTAGGTTGTTCAGCTCCGGGTACTGGCCCTGGTAGTCCTCCAGCGTCGTGCTCAGGCTCAGCACCGCCTGCTCCAGCCGCGGCGGCGACGGCCGATCCATCTCTGGCAGCGCGGAGTCGCGCGACCGTCGCACCGATGCCGCAGCGTCGCCGCTGTACGACGCTCGGGAGCGCGAGTTGAGCAGCGAGTCACGGTCCTGCAGGCGGAGCCACATGTCGGTGTAAGCGACGACGACATTGGAGAGGGGGGGGGGGGTTGTTATTTGGAATTATATTGTTATAGGTTTATATATGGTCATAGGTTTATATGGTTATATTGGAGATTTTGTTTTATTCGGTGTGAGCGACGATGACGGAGGGGTGGGGGAAGATTTTTTAAGCGCCGGGCATTGCCGATGTTTTTGTTTATTCCGTTAGTTTTTCGAGCGACGCACGCGCACACCATTGGCATTGGAGGAGGGTGGGTGGTTGTTATGGAGGAGTTTTTTAAAGCAGCGTGCATTGCCGATGTTCTTGTTTATTTGTTTTTATTATTATTGTTTTATTTTTCGAGCATTTATTTTTTGTTTTATTTTTTATTGGAAGTTTCATAATGATAAGAAAAAGCTTCTAGCGATGGCTCACGATTAGATTGCAGCTCGTTATGGAGCGCGCACTGACATAAAAGCCAATTTAGTAAACGGCTCACGATTGAATTGTGGCCCGATGATAAAATCCCGCTTCGTACGCGGATTACAGATCATTAAAACCTGCCTTGCGGTCAGAATCGCTCATTAATACACAACGCAGAGCGATGTGATTCCAGCAGCACTGCCTCGCGGTGCAAGCGAACGAGTAAAATTAGGGAAGGAGGGGAGTGCACACACGAGCTTAGCCACGAAGTCGGCGAAGTCGTGATTGAGTAAAATAATGCACAGATAATAATGTCATCAGAAATTCAAAAATCAAAAATCAAGCAGGGATAAAAAAAATCATGTGTGTGTTTCTGCAGATCAATGTGTGCATTGCTCATTACCAAGTAAAGGCTCATTAAAGGCACCCAGCATTGTTCTCTGATTGTGGGTTATTAGCGATTATATTAGGGTTAGGGGTTAGCTTATCATCAAGAGACTCCCAAGAGCAAAAGTTGGATGCTTGGAGCCGTTAAATCAAGGCCACCGCACAGGCGCACACTAGAGCAATATAGCTAAGCAATCGGTCTCGCGAGCAATATGGCTTGCGAGTCGTGTTCCCCGCACACTAGAGCAATCGGACTCGCTACTCTGCACTAGAGCGACCTCTCTCGATTCCAATATATAATCACGTCCCATGAACCATTGCGACCCGACTGATCAACTTATGGCAAGAACAATGGTGTTGATTATTATGGCTGCGAATGTGTCGTTTAACACACTAGAGCAATATTGATAAGCTGCCATAAAAATATCAAACATGTTTGATGTGTGAGCAATCGGACTCGCGAGTCGTTTGGCGCAGTAAAATGCCCCCGCACACTAGAGCAATATTGCTCGCGATTGTCCGATTGCTTAGCTATATTGCTCTACTGTGCGATGACCTTCAGCTAAATGCTAAATGCGTGCGACTGCTTATTTTCATTAACAATGGTAAAGGCACGCCGCATTATTCTCCGATTGTGGTTAAGGTTAGGGGATGACTCATCATCATGAGACCAAACCAAGAGCAAAAGTTGTATGCGTGGAGCAAGTAAATGGATAAGTACATAAATGGTAAATATTGGTAAATAACTGTAATGGTATAAATAGTAAATAAATAGGTAATAAATGATAATTATTGAATTGAAATGAAAGTAAAAGCAAGTATTGTAGCAATGGAACATAACCTCGCGTGCGTGCGCTCGCGTCTGAATCTCCCCGCCCCGCTCTGCTCAACAACGACTGGCCGCCATCTTTCATTCGCCCTCGCGTCTGAATGCCCCACTCAATAACGACTGGCCGCCATCTTTTATGCGTGCTCACGTCTGAATGCCCCGCTCGACAACGACTGGCCGCCATCTTTCATGCGCCCTCGCGTCTGAACGCCCCGCTCGACAACGACTGGCCGCCATCTTTCATGCGGCCTCGCGTCTGAACTCCCCCTCCCCCCCCGCTCTGGCCGCCATCGTCCGCGCACACACTCACCGGCGTTACGCTCGTGCGCGGCATTGGCTCCCTCACGATGTCACTGAACGGTCGCGTCGGCCGGCCGCCCAGCCCGTTCTGCAGCAGCGGCGACGGCGTCGCCATCGTCATCGGCCGGCGCTTCCTGGTGGGAGAATTGCGCAACACGACGGGCGTCAGGCTCGGGTAGGCCGACGCGTCGTCCGCCGCGCTGCCGTCCAGGGGACTGCAAGGAAGGAAGGAAAGAGGAGACCGATTAATGACGCTCAAATAAAATAACCGTTAAACGGGCATCACTATTCGAGCGGGGAGTAGGAGACTGTGCTCGCCGACGCTACAATCTAGCGAGTGCAAAAATTATTTACGTAGCCGTTAAACGAAACCGATTCGTTATTTTTATTACAATAACCTTTTTTATATTATATACAATAATATTCTAGCAGCTGGGGAATTAAGAGTTGAATCCCATCGATCGATCGATGTTGACAAATGTATGTGTGTGTGGAATTTATATTATGGCTGTGCATACACACATCTAGATTCTCTACTAACCTGGGGGGGGGGGCAAACGCAAGCCTCGGTAATAAAAAAAGGCATCTATTTTTTTCCATATCTTGCATATATCATCAAGAGCTAATAATATTATTAGGTATTATTTGTAAGGTATTATTAGCTCCTGCTATTATGCAGCTATGTGACTCGTCGTGCTAGGTTGCATTAATCATGCATTAATGTTAGGACCGATCCCGTGATCCTTACTTCCAAGTGATGATGACGTTGAGTTTCAGAGAGCCACTGGGATTCAGGTTAACGGTCATGATCTGTGGATGCGCGGAGAATAGATCCTTCGTCTCGCAGTTCTTTGTTCCTAGCAGCACAGACTTTCCCAGTCCTTTCACCTCCACAGCCTGCAGTGAACAAAACATACTACATATTACGCCATTTGCCTTATTATGGACAATATCAAGCGATCGTAATAACGTCGATATTACCTTGCAGTTACGAGCTCTTGACAATAGCTGCGTTCACGCGAGACTCCGTATTTATGAAATTCGGTATTTGCGAGATACCGAATCTGAGACAAATACGCGACTTACTCCACCCGAGCGTTCACACGCTGATTCGCGGCTCCAGAAATGCCGTATTTGCGAGCTGCGAGCTGCTTTAGTACAATGGAAAAAAAAATGCGTCCAAGCGAACAATCAAGCGAACAATGCGAAATAAACAATCAGTGCACAGCAAACTGCTGATAAAATACGTAGACTGGTCCGTGCTAGACAGTTCCACTCGCGTTACGCGAGTGTAACTGTCGACCGCGGACCAGTCTATCAAATACGCGGCTTCAGAAATTCGCTATTAGCCACGTTCACACGGAGCAACAAATTCGGTATTTAGCGTTCACACGAAGCAAAAATGCGCGTTCCAACAAATACGAAATCTAAATAGATTCGGTATTTGTTGAAATACGCGGCTTCCCAGATGCCAAATTACTTCTCGTGCTTGAGAAATTCCGGATCTCTTGGACCGCGTATTTCTCTCGTGTGAACGCTAAATACCGAATTTATGAAGCCGCGTATTTTATAGACTGGTCCGCGGTCGACAGTTACACTCGCGTAACGCGACTCGCGAGTGGAACTGTCGAGCCCGGACCAGTCTACGTATTTTATTTTATGTCACTGATTGTTTATTTCGCATTGTTCGCTGGATTGTTCGCTTGGACGCATTGTTTTTTTTCATTGTACTAAAGCAGCTCGCAGCTCGCAAATACGGCATTTATGAAGCCGCGAAACAGCGTGTGAACGCTCGAGTGGAGTAAGTCGCGTATTTGTCTCAGATTCGGTATCTGGCAAATACCGAATTTCATAAATACGGAGTCTCGTGTGAACGCAGCTAATATCATCTTCCATATTGAATTAAACAGCAGTATCAAACAAGAACGACTATAATTGAGATTAATATCACGCATCTTAGATCTATCGTATGGTGTTTACCATAGTTTCACTGCAACAGCAGCTTTTTAAGAGATGAAAAACCTCGCCGATGTAATTAACTAACACTAAACACTGTTACGACCACATCAACTCTCCCCTCTCCAACATCAACTCTCCCATCTCCAACATTTTCTCCCCTCCCCCAACTTCTTCTCCCCTCCCCCAACATCTTTTCCCCTCTCCAACTTCTTCTCCCCTCTCCAACATCTTCTCCCCTCCCCCAACATCTTCTCCCCTCTCCAACATCTTCTTACAACCCACTGAGCGCATAAACATGCCACTACACCCATCGTTTCCCATAAACATCAGCAAACCCCCCCTACGCCAGATGTGGAAATCCTTACACGAGATCAGTGAACCAGACACTTTCATGACAACCCGATATTTTAACAACATCACCAAAAGCAATCGAGAGAAAACCCAGCATCCCTGCGCACTTAATTCCATCAACAGACATCACTTTGATATTGAGATATCACCTCACACCGGAGCCCCCCCCCCTTCCCACACACTGAATGTTCAATGTGCTAAAATTGCTAAATAAAAACTAATTGCTAAAATAAATTGCTAAAAGTGCTAAGTATTAAAGCCAGGACAAAAAAAACACGAGTTTACCCAGGAAGCCAGAGGACACTCCAGTGACTATCAGTGTGCGTCACTACTCATTGGTAACGAAATACGATGAGCAGTGGTAAAAGAAAAGTGGCATTGTGGTTTACTCGTGGGTGTGCGTGATTCCCTAGTTCAATTATCGAGCACTTGGAACAAATGAATCGAGTCGTGCGAGCCATTCTACCAAAAACTCGTGCAGCTACCCCCAGCTTGAGACACTACGTTAACCGTAACGCCATTGTTACGGGCGTTACGGCAAAAATTCAGCTTGGCACCATATGTGAAACCACTTAGTATACCCTTAAAGGGACAGTAGCCTCTAGGATTTTACTGCATACAACTGTACTTACTGTATAACAAATCGTCTACACCCACACGTATTTGTTACCAGAATAGCCTAATGGGATTATTGTTATAAGGGATATTAATTACAATCAAGCTAGCGAAATTTGAACGGCCGGCCAAATGAGACGCGAAGCACACGGAGAAACGCGTGCTGGCGCCACCAGAACGGAGAGAGCAGGACAAAACTACCACAAGAACGACACGACGAAAACGAACACAAGAGAACAACGAAAAAGTTGGCGTATTTGGAGCATATGTTATTTTGCCAAGTTAAGCTGCGTTTACGCTAATCAGATTTTGTCAGCAAAACCTCATCGACGCGATTTCAAGTGCATTCTAAACTTGCCGCGCCCAGCTTGACCAAAAGTGCATCTCCAAGAAAATTCGAATTGTTGTTGGAGTCGGAGCAACGTCGGAAGTCAAGTCGCCGAGTTGGAGAAATAAGAAACTCCCAACTCGGGCCGACTCCGACCTGCCCATACACTGAATTTCAGGCCGATGTGTGTTGGAATGGCACTTGAAATCGGTACGATTTGCTGACAAAAATCGATAGTGTTAAACGCAGGCATTCAGACCGAGGCTTAATCACAAAAGTGCAATATGAAAAAAAATGATTTAATACCTAAATGCTATTTAACCAACGATATTCATTTTAGGCAAATTTATCGATATTATACTGGAAACTATATGTCGTTTACAAGATATTACATCCTTTTGGCTTTAAATCAAAATATATAAGAAACACCCTCAGTCTGTAGCCCTTGGCTGGAAGTGGTTTTGCACAACTTTATCAGATGGCGTGCGCTTGAGCTGGGCGCCACCGTCACGTCTGTACCCTGCAAACACTGGATAAGCTCGTGTAGTTTCTATCAAAACATTAAAAAAAATATTTACTAATCGGTGATTGAACGCGTGAAAAGCTGTTTTATGTAGCGTAATTATTATAACACATAAATTAGCTGAAAATAACCCTAGAACCTAAGAGTAAACTCTCAGCCTGTTAAACATCAATCAGGGCATACCCGATTTTGGTATGCTTTTTACCACCAAACACTCGACAATTCGTGATCACCAAATATAACTGCCGGCCACTAGGTAGCACATGTGTAGAACACCTAAGTAGCATTGGTGGGCAGCCTGCCAGCGGCTGGTAGGTTCACAAAGCTTACCTTGATGTTGAGTATGTCGGCGATGAGGCAACGGAAGGTGGCCTCCTCACAGTCCCACTGCTGCGCGCGCGAGCGCTCCACGCGACCCTTCGACTTCCACTTCGTGGCTGCCGTAGACGGAACGTGGATCTCAAACACGAAAGCGAGTCGCCGCGCAAGCAGAGTCGGCGCGAAGGAGCACCTGCCGCCAGCGTGTTACTAATATACTACTATCATAACTAACACAGCAGACCACAGCTATAACTACTAATATATAACTAATACAGCAGAACACAGCTATAACTACTAATATATAACTAATACTGTACAGCAGAAACACCAGCTATAACTACTAATTACACTTATAATATATAACTAATACAGCAGAACAGCAGCTTATAACTACCTCAATGAAACTACTGATATATACTAACTAATAACAGCAGAACACAGCTATAACTACTAATATACTCTAATATATATAACTAATACAGGCAGAAACACAGCTAATCAACTACTACACTCATAACTACTATAAAACTATATGACACTAATCACCACAGCAGAGACAGCAGCTATAACTAACTTAATATACTAGTTTTTTCTATACTATATCCCAACTAAATAACAGCCAGAACAAACAGCTATAACTACTAATATACTACTATATATATAACTAATACAGGTAATATAAGTAATGCAGCAGAACACAGCGTACGTGTTACTAATAACGACGTGGTAAAATAACTTAGATCGCTCGCCATGACTCTGTCATTGTTGTGATTTTATGTTTAGATCTGTCTCGTGCGCAGTAACATTTCACGATACGGACAGACAATGCCGCATCAAACCTTGCTCGTACCTTTCATTTGGAAGTGCAACGTTCCCATCATTTGTTCCAGCGTGTGCTCAATAACGCACATGCTCTGTGTGCATTCTTTGAAGCCGCTCTTCACGTTGTTCAGTTGTTCTCTCGTCCGGTGAGGCGAGCTGACGTAGGCCTGCGCCATGTTCCTAGCACCTGCAAACACATGGTGGCAGTGGCTGTGAATACCAGATATACTGCGTTTAATATTTGCAAGTCAATACAATTCACTTATCTGCAGTACACCATATACTTACACACACTAACATAGCTTACTGTTAACATAGCAACTGCCAGCATAGCATGCACACACAGATACACGCGCGCGCACACGCATGTACACACACACACGCACACGCACACGCACACGCACACGCCACCACGCCACACGCACACGCACCACGCACACGCACACACACACACACACGCAGGCACACGCATGCTACTAGGCCAAAGCATCAGGAGCATTAATGTCGTACAAAATATGTTATTTTCTTCACAAACTATACGCATTGGTACAATTTTTTACTTAAATTTAAACCTACTAAACGAACTTTTTACGCGACATCTTTGTAAGGACACTATTTAAATCGCGTCTCGTGTGACGTCACACGGACATGACGTAGTTTTAGAAGCATTCTCTCGAAGCATGTTCAACATGGCACTTTACAAAAAATGTTCTTAACAACCACATCTGCTTAAACACACTTCCCTTGAACAAACAGCAGGTATTATGTGTGGTGCCCGCATGGCGACTGTGACCTTGCAGGAGTCGTTCAAAGGGTCCATTTTCACCCGTGTCAAATATCGCCACAACATCTGCCGGTTTTTCCTCATATGGCAGACATCACTCGAGCGCCTGGAACTTTCGACAGGCCAACCAGCACATCCCTTTCTCAACTGTTATTGTCACGTCCAACTTACACGAAGCATGCCTGACAACGACATCCCTTAGGTAACAACCGCATCAGGTTCTCACGAAGCGACTGGATGCTCGTAGTTCGCTATTGAATATCGCTATCAGCATGTCAGCTCGCAGCTTGGCAATTGTGTGCGACCCGTTCTCGTGTTTTCTAACTAAATCTGTGCCTCTTTCACGGGCGATTTTTTTGGAGAGGTATACATTGGTATTGACCAATTACACTGTATCATACACAAGTTTAACATTCCGCTTAGTCCATGCGGCCATTACAATACAATAATTGGCAACTATGTCGAACTGGGGAGATCTGCCAGACAATAGTGAATACATACAATACAGGATAGGAAAATTAGCATTCCGGGCATACTACATCACATCAGGGAACAAAAAGACTAATTTATTTCTCGGGAGCTACTTTTCAAGCTCGCGTGCATGAAAATAGCACTCTAAAAATTTGTTTGCATTGAAACTCTATTGCAAATTTTCCGGCGCGGTCTTTTTGGCATATTTCCGTCGGCTCTTTTGCGCATTTCGGGGGCTAATCGCCCGATGCCCCAGTGTATTTTTTTCACTCGCCATTTCACATCAATGCTTTCTTGATCGAGAAGATTTCACCCCTACTCGACAATCACGCGAATCGCTGCGGACCTGCGATATCGGTCGAAATCTTCGTACGTGCAGTGCGCAGAAAGTAATGTGCAGGCACCATGAACGGCGTTGTTTTGTCTTGAACACGTACATCATTACTTTACAGACGTCGCGAAAAAATGTCTTCTCTGGGCCCTGACCACTGGGCCAGCCACTAATGTCCCAGCCATTTAAATTAGCGCATTCCGTTTAAAGCGCGACAGAAAACACACTTACAACGCTCGTCGGTTGAGCATGGCCCCTTTGCACTTTTCCGGGGTCAGTCTTAGACAAGCAAGGCTCATCAACATGTACGGGAACGCCTGTGTACGTGGAACGCTACCCGTCACCAGTGAAAAACTGTGCCGACAAGTTCTATCATCATTCTACACGAATTAGCTGACAATGTTCCTGCCAGGCCACAGCAGTTGCTTGTAGTTTACAGAATACTCTTTGTTGTGCCGACCACACAGATGGTGGTCATGCTCGGAGGATGGGAACAACTTCGCTCGCAGCAACACTTCTAACGGGCGACCTTTATGCACGCACCCATCTCTTCAGTTTCTGCTGTAAAAATGTATTGCTCTCAATTCTTCAACCACCATGCCAACACAAGAAGATACCAATGTGCATTTCGATACCAGATGCCATACCCGTTTTTAAATCTGTACAGTTCCAACGTGGATGGGTATTGTATGCATTCATTAACAGAGGCCATATCGAAGTTAGCAAAGTCCGGTAATATTTGTCATAGAATCAATATTCGGAGAACCCTACCTAGACAGATGAAATCTCACAGCTTCCTTTCATATGTCCTGTCTCGTCTGTCTTGGAGACTGTAATACGTAACACAGCGCACCAGATGTCAACGAACCACTGCTTATTCAACCATCTCTCTCTAGATTTAGCCAATGACGGTGCAACACTGACAGCACAATAAGAGCCTTCGAATCGCCGGCTATCAATTGTCAATGGCACTTCCCGCTTACCAGTCGCTCACCCACTACAATGCACGGGTTTAGATCCTTAGTTGGTTCTAATCAACTATTTTTAATCTTTATTTTGTAGATCACTCGCGAATTAATTGGTTATTCACACAAGTCATACTTGCTCTATCGTTACTATATACTGCACGCCAATTGCTAGTCCACCACGTTACGTGCCCTTAGAAGGACACCACCTATGACCAAAATGCAGCCCGTACAATGTCGCCACGCGCGCAGGCATGGCTAGATAGGCTTACCGTGCGACCCACGACAACTACCACAATCAACGTGTTTTTTCTTCGTTCAAACTCAGATTCACCGATTATAATAAAGACGCTAACAAATGATGTTATTCTGCC